CGTCCGATTTTAAAAAAACATTCCTATGCCAGAAAATGCAGTCACATTTCTCTCAAGTATTATGAAAACCACGTTTTTCCACCACTTTTTGTTCTCGAGTTATTCGAAAAATATCCATGAGCACCGTTTTTTGAAAGGGATAGTATCAGTAGTAACATTTCAAGATACAGATGAGATTTCAGAAGTATGTATGCACGAATATTAAACTAAAAGTAAGCTTACGTATTGGATAAAATAGTTCATTGGCATTCTGATTATCATCTATTTCCTGATCGTTCCCCAAATTCCAGCCAATTGTGGGACATGGTTGAAGTACTTTCTCAAATCCAATGGGTGGAGGTTTCTTTGACATTGTTCTACAGTTTTGTATGAGATAAAAAAACAATCCAAATCGTCTAAAGCACAATATACACAATATATACGTGATTTTCTGTTGTACTTTTCCAGATAAGAAATTACATAATACGTGTCGAAGAACAAATGACCCTTTTAGTATTTTTTTGCATAAATCTTTCTCGAGCCATCACCTTGCGTCGAATTTTTAAAAAATTCATCGTTTAGCCTTTTCGAAAAGAATATATATACTGTTTATTTTATTACGGAAAGTAAATGTGAAAAGCTACGAGAAAACTACTGAAAAGCCTCAACATGATCAACTACTTAACATTTTTTCGGTAGTGTTTTTAATATAATCAACCTGTTGTTTCTCATCAAAGTAAAAACGAAGCCAAATCCAACATGTGTGATTTTTAACGAATTACAAAGATCTTAAGGTAAAAATCTGAGAAGTTTTGACTTTTCTATTCAATCTGGTTGTCTTGTGAGAGAAGTCTAATAATGGTCAACAGCGTTATCGATTAGGGGGTGGATTTCTCGCTTGGATAAAGTTACTCAAAAAATTTTAACTTTTTTGAAATTTTTTAAGCAATTTAAGTTGAGAAACTGCCTTTTATGCACCTGAGTAAGTGATTTTCTCTAGCTTTTGAGTAACTCATTTATTTGCTGACAAACTGGCCCCTATGCTTTCTTCGTATTGCTGATGAATCTTGTTTTGAAATAAAATATAATGAAGAAACATTAGTCTTAGACTGATGTAGTCAAAAAATGCTCTCACACTCAAGAAAAAACTTTAGTTACTCAGCAGACTCTCCACCCTGCACCAAAACTTCTATCGAAAACGCTGATGGTTAAACAATAAAACTTTTTGAATGCCTATTCGAAGTTTCCCATATGTTAGAAGGTAATGAAGTAATTCTAAGAAAATCGTTTTCTTGGTCATTATGAAACTTCTCAATAGTTTTCGCGTACTCTTACTTTCCGTAATAAAACAGACAATACGAAGCATTCTTTTCGAAAAGGTTAAACGATGAATTTATTTAAAAATCGACGCCTAGGTGATGAAACAAGAAAGATTTATCCTAAATTTAATGAAACAATCATTTCTTCTGTGTCTTTCAGTGGTAGATTCAGAAAAGGAGGTGATACGCTCTCTCTAGAAATTTCGTGTGCTAGTCGCCCACTCTTTAAAAAATTGCTTATTAATTTCTCTGTAGAGAAATCTAATATTGACGTTGAATTTTTATGGCTTTGTAGACGTGTCGCTATGACTACTGATATTGTAGTTCTTTAAGGACATCGCTTCGTCTCATTTTAGAGTATTTTCGAAAAATTGAGTTAATCCAGTAAAAATATACACCAAAGTATTTTCTTCAAAACGAGACGTCTCCGAGCTTTCTATCGTTTTCCGCTGAGAGATAACTTTTATAATTTTCTATTTGAAACTAAGAAATAACAATATTCCTCCACTTTTGTTCATTCTTTCTCTCTTAGCAACTAAAAACTTTTTTCAACTACTTCGACTTGTAAAAAAAACATTTCTCTGCACGATGAGCCACCTACGAGCTTATTAACAATGTTGACTCGCTGCGATATAACCGTTTCGATGAAAACTCCAGAAAACATGACTTTGGTAATGCAACATCTCTAATTCAAACCTCACGGCGATCTCGTTGTATATAAGCACATCGGAGTTTTATTCGTTCGAGCTCAAATTAATAAGACAAATATGAGACATCCATATCTTTCGATTTAGCATTTTTGGATGTTTCTATCATAGCAGGTACTAGAAGCTCCTAATAACACAGTAGAAAACTCGAGACTATCATTGTTTTCTTTCTGCAAAAAACGAGAGAGTATCGCAAAAGTATAAATCGAAGAACAATCGAGCGTATAGATGTCAAATAGCTGTGGAATCCGAATGGATAAGTTTATGTATAGTGAAAATTTTGGTTGTCTAGACAACTATACCAGAAAATGAACTTGGAATGTCCAAGTAAAAAAATATCTTCGTTTTATTTTTCGATAATAAGCTCTGATGAAAGTTTTATCTGTCGATGATTTATCGTGATGATTCTGAAAATCAGGATGAGAAATGAGGCAAGAATTATCCTTAACAACCTTTTATCAACTAAACTCTTTTGTTTGATCGTCTCTACTTGCGTCTGTAAAATAAAAGACGAATTTAACAACAATGTCACTGTTTACTATACGAAAAAATGACATACAATAAAATAGACAACAACAAAAATAAATATTTAGATAAATATCGTCTGATTTATGACATAGATAAGAAAAATAAATAATTACAATTGCCAGTTTAATAACAACGAGAACAAAAAATGAGATAAAATTACATCGAAATACACAACAACAATAACTGTTCTTTTGATTTTTTAGTAAATATAGTGACGAAATATATGATAAATATCGTAGACAACAGCAAATGTAAAATAGAATGGAATAATATATTGCAAATATAAAAACCAATTTGGTAATTGATAAGGAATTGTAAAAGATCTATGTAAAAAACACAACAACACCAATAGAATGTCTGTATTACATTTTATTTAAAATAAAGCTGGTAGATCTACGGCTTGTCCAAACGTAACGCTGTTACGTTTTTGACACACTTTGTCACAATTATCTCGGAAAGTTTGAGAGCTAGAAAGTTCGTTCAAAGGTCATTCGACGCAGCTCATCATACTCTATGTATACTATAAAAACGAAGTTTTGGGTTGAAGTCTGGAGCTTCGAGAAAGGTTTTTACATCATGTAACGCTGTTACATAAAAAGATCCTAAATTCGGGGTGCTCTTGCTAAAGTTCTAATTTCCTACGAAAGTCGTTCTCCAAATGAAATGCCCCTCGAGCAAATTTTGTAGAGCATCGAATGAGCTTTTCAGCGGTAAAAAAAGATCTTCTAACTATTTTTACTCGCGTAAAAAAGGCAAAAAACGAACGTAACCCTGTTACACATTTTTTTGTCACACTATTTTAGGGCACTCAACATTCTTCAAACAACTTTATACTTATAGCTTGAGTACTTCTAACCTTCCTGAAGATACTCCACTTGCAAACAAAGTTCCAAAAGGAGCCTCAGACTTTTAAATCGAGTAAGGAGTTCAAACTTGCAAGCAGCCCTTGTGCCTCGACTGAGAAATATTTCTCAAAACAAAACGAGCCATTTTGTAGAGAATTGAATTATCTATTTAACAGTATATTTTCAAAATTATTTTACGAAAATCTCTAAGTCAAAAAATTAAAATTAAAGTTTAATTAAAAATTCAGTTTTTTTCAAAATAAAGGTTGAATTCGTGATCAGCATGAAAAACTACGTCTGGTAATGGGCTCCTGCCGATTTCCCGATGAAAAACAAATATAAAAAAATCGATCAGCGAAGTTTTGTCTTACGTGGACAAGCCGTCTAATAGAATCATGATCTCTATCTGATATTTGTGAGTGTGAAACTCGACTCTGTTCTTTTATGTACTCAAAAAAGGCGAAGGATCTAAATTTGAAATCTTAAATATATACCCAAATTTTGGAGATGTTACTTTATAAATCATTATGCTTAAAAATATGCCCATTTCAATGTTTGTAAACAGCGAACCAGCTTGTTCCAGAATTGTTTTAAAACTCTAAAACAAATTAATAATAAAAAAACATAAATATTTGAAGAAATAATATTATAAAATTTAATAATACATACTTTAGGATTACTGAGAGCAATACCAAAGACGATCGTAAAAATGACTAATGAAACAAATGCTTGAGTCATTCTGAAAAAAACATAAATAAAAAAACAAGTATAAATCGATAGTCAAATTGATTAGTTATAGCAAAAAAAAGAAAGAAGAGAGAGCAGCATTAAACAAGCAATTAAAATATTCTTTTTTACTTTGTCAGAGCTTGCTACCCACTATTAATTTACCGAATATTTGAGAATTTTCTGAAGTTCCTAAAAATATGTGCAAGATCTACTGAACATTCTTATAATTTTACTCATTATAGTAGAATACAGAGTCTTATTGTCTACTTTATCTGACAGACGGTAATTTTATAGTAGATAAAAATATCTACCAATAATAAAAAAAAAATATCGATGATGTGTGTGTGTGGTGTGTGTGTTCTTACTTTCTCACAGTAACATATTGAAATAAATTTCCATATTTTCTTAAATCTGTTTCGGCTTCAATCGACGGATTCCAATAGGAATCAACAACGCCTTTAACTATAAAAAAAAATATTTGATATTAAAATAAGACAAAGAAATATACGTTAAAATCTTACTTGTGTGATGTAATGCTGATCCCATGGTCATATACGATACAGATATACTAGTAACAATAAATAACTGCACAATAAATGATACCCATGAATAATATTTATAATCATGTTCAATAATCTTAAATTATAGACATCATGGATGATAATCGAGAGAGAGAGAGAGAGAGAGAGAGAGATATAAAACATTAACAATAAATACTTACACTACTTAGTGGTACAGTTGATATTTCACCATTGATTCCAGCTCTTTAAAAAATATTTAAAAAAAAACAATTTCAAAATACATTTGATATATAAAATAAAGGAATATATACTTCTGTAATGATGGTTTTTCAACACAATGCTGTTGTACTTGTGTTTCATTCATCAAATTATATTGCCAATTTATTGTTAGATTCAAATCATTCGATAAACAAACACTACGCTGAGGAACGACAGCCAGTACTGACCAACACCTAGAAGAAAAATTGATTTCTAACATCAAAATTGTAAAGTATGAATAAAACATTTTGCATTAAAAAAAACGAGATTGATTATATATATATATGTAAGCAATTATGAATCTAATTTTTAAAATCTTTTGTAGTTTCTAGTAGAAAATATTCATTTTTTGTATGAAGAAGAAACGTTTATCAAATGAGAGGACTTAATGAGAGAAATATTACTAATTACGTATAATATATATATAGATTTAATGATTATAATACGAGATTAGAAATTCGAGTTAAGAATCAATTATATTTTTATTTATTAGAAAAATCGAATCAAAGACGAATATTGTACATACCAGAGAAGATTTAAAATGACACATGTTGTCAAACCAAGAAAACATGCCAAATTAAAACCCATTATCTTAAAAGAAAAAGAAATATTGTAAAATTTATTATATACATAATACATATACAATTCATATACTTCATGGCGTGTTTGTTTCAATTTCGTAAACATCAATGGCATAATATTCATTAGACCGCCTGAAAAAAAAAAGTTTATCACATATTTTTGAATTGTTTCCTATATGTAGTTTAATTTACTCTTAAATACCTAGTGCAATTGTACTCATTAAGAATGAATCACCGATATGATTGTAACTATGTGTCACAGTATTTTGAATTTTTAAACCAACCATTAACGTCACAATAACTAAACAATTTTAAAAAGAAAACAGTTACATTCAAAATTTCTCTTTTTATACGTCATAAGCGTACCCGTTCCTGTAAACAAACTTCCTTTTAAAAATGTTAATACCGATATAATAGGTTGAATAAATTGATGAAGAAATACAATACAAAATGTCCATGTCCAACAAAAGACGGGAATCATTTTCAAATATCTATATTCGAAAAACAAAACAAAATATCTCTTGTTATCAATAAAATATATTCATTGTTATTTAATTTACTTGATACGAAATAACGTGGCATACGCTTGACTTCCTGCTAACGCATAACTGACCAACATACATAATCTAAAAAATTAAATAATGAACAAAGTACAGTACAAAGAACGTATTTTGAAAAAACAACAACTTACAAGCTCAATATAACTGTTAATGTAAATATCTGTCGACAGAAACACGGCAAAAGCAATTCTCCAAGTGAATGAAGATTGGGCAAACATTGTTGAATTGTATTTGGTTTTGTCACTAGAATGAAATATAGAAGAAGAAATAAATAAATATTTTAGATAGAAAAAATTTAAAAAAAAATAATATTAAATATCACACCAAGCAAGAAAATAGACGTTAGTCAAAAAAGAAAAAACACCCAGAGCAATGCAAAACAACAAAAAGAGAAAAATAGCGCATTTAATTGTTGGTTGTTAATTTTTGTATTTTGCCTACCAAAACTATCATTATCATGAAACAATTTGAATTTCTTATTATTCTTAAACGATGTATTAACATAATCTTCTGGAATCATACTATCATTGTCATCACTATTTTCATTGTTTAATAATGGAATCGAATCTGCTGTTCCTAAGAGTTATCACAAGAGAGAATATTTTTAAATTTTGAGAATTATTAGTAGAAAAATGAAAGTTTATTGCTTTTAGTATCAAATAGTATGTATTAGTGAGTATCCTTTGAGGAACACATATTATCTGCAGGTAACAAGCCCTAATTTCTTTTATCCAGAATTCTCACCCCGTTTGAGAGCACTGGATATTGTTTTCGTCATTTTTAGCAAGTAACGTCTATCAACGTTTCTCTACACCTTTGCTTCTCTTTTACTTATTAGAAGATTTTTAGCTTTTCTCACGATCGCAGCCCTTCACATGTCAGAAAAAGAATGATTTTCGTCCAAAATATCGATATGGTGGAAAGTAAGTACATAGTCTGATTTTCGAATTGTTCGAATTTATGTTCTCAAATAATGCGATTTGAGGATTTCTCAGAATGGTTTTTGGAAAACCATATTGAAAAACAACTGATCCAAAAAGTGTTGTTTTCTAAAAATAAAAATGTCCACATAGATGCATGCCTATGCAGCACATGGGAGTATCGATAACGTCTAAGAATAGATGAACAAGTTTCTGTATGTCTTACAAATTTGAGCATTATCTGATGTTGCTGTCAGGCTCTAAACTCAAAAGATAAAAGGTCTGAAAAATGCATTTTACCGTTAAGTAAAAAACATCGAGGAGACGGCTAATCTGATGGTTACAGATCACCTCATGCAATAGCTGTAGTGGAAGTAAAACTGCGTATCGTTTTGAATAAACCGAACAGAAACATACAGCGATAAGACCTTTATATAGTCAGGTTAAAAGAAAAGTACCATTTCTACAACGATCGGCGTATTTTAAAACCTACATATCGATGTGATTAGTCGTCTCCCCGTTTCTAATTAACTGTAAAATTTATTCTCCGGATCTTTTGTATTTTGAGCCTAGAGCCTGATAGCAACATCTGAAAAGGATGGGAGAGGCGTAGAATTATCGAAAAATATTTGACCTGTCGAATGAATATCTGCAAGTGGGCCTTCAGTTTTCACTAAGCAGATTTTCCAAAGATCGTTCTAGATAACCCTTAAAGATCGTTTCTAAAAACAATATCTCTTGAATGATGATGATGATAGATGAAAACTTCATCTTAACTATAATTTGATAATATCAATATTCTTCGAAAGTTTCGTCGAGATTTAGCTGTTTGTTCAGTACTGATCCTATAATATGAAAATTTTTTGAGCTCTTTCTCTCTACTCTACTCTGTGACCTTAGATAACCGTAGAATTCTATATCCGCAGGACGAAAAAAATTACTGACATGGTGGAAGAAAGCGTTGATAGAGAATAAATCTTCTCTTTTCTAACAGACATAAGTCTCATCGAGTAGTTTACCATGATTTTTGAAGTTTCATAGTTGTCAGTGATTATGTTATGAAAAATTATTGTACAGTAAAACTTAATTTAACGGTTATTTAAAGAACAATTAACGATAGTCAGTGAGTACTGAGTAAATAGCATTTCACTTTCTTTTCTCTTTTGCTAAACTAGACTGCATGCATGCATGAAGTTATATTAAAAAAAAGCACAAATACTAAATTTACTACTAATATCAGACCAATTAGATGGATTATTTTTTGTTATCACATTTTGTTGAGATATAACAACTAAAAGCGTACAAAAGATAAGCACATATATACAAGAATATACAACATTTAGAAAATAGAATTATTAATGTCACCTTTTGGAGCGACCATATCTCGAAGTTCAACAAATTCGCCATATTCTGGAATAAAATAAAATAAAAATAACAGATAATATTAAAATAGATCGTTTTATTTGTTGAATACTTAGTAAGGAATTAGAAATTCATTTTTTTTTTTACTAAAGATTCTAATATAGACGGGATGGGATTATGATAACAACACACACACACACACACAAAAACAAAAAATATCTTAACTTCAAATACACAATTTTTAGATACAAAAATTTCAATTTTTCATGCTTGTCTTCTATTGAAAGCGAATAAAATTTCATATACTTTTTTTGCTTGTTGAATAAAATTTTTATTTACAATTTTTCCTCCTCAATATTAAAATATCATCACACTTCGGTTTCTCTATAAGAACTTAATTTTATTCCAATTTGTTCTTCATACATATATTCATTTTGATATGTTGATTTTAAAATGTTTGTATTGTTTTTGTTATTATTATTGTTCTTCTTTTTTATTATTAATTTTTGAAATGTAAATAAACATAATTTTGTTGTTAATTTAAATTCATCATAAAATAAAAATGTAAAACATTCACATAGAGGTAAAGATGTTAAAAATATTAAAATTAATCGAACAGATGTAGTTAATGTTATTTGAAATAATTTAATAATTAAAATTGGAATAATAACAATCATATTACTTAAAACAAATAATATTGATGATTGAATTCGTTTTAAACTTATATCAACTAAATTAGTACGTTCATGTTCTTTAAATTTAGTAAATACAAGTGTTTGAAAAAATATTGATGCTAAACTTTTACGTTTTAATTTATAAATTTCTTTATATAATATTATTATCCATGAAAATGTTAAAATATCAATAAGAACAAATAAAATAAATAAAATTAATATTGGAATAAATGATGTACGATTTATTATTTCTGTTTCATAAACTTTTTCAGTACTATGTTCTATATATATCTGTTGTGATGATGATGATGATGATAATAATGATGATGGTGGTAATAAACATAATTCAGTAATAAATGGATTTTTACCACCAATTGTTAAATGAATTGATAAAAAAAAAGTTGATATAAAATATATAAAAAATAATCCAAATGTTAAACAACAAATATTATATAATGAACTTTTCATTTGTACACTTGAATCCCAAAAATGAGCTGATTCACTAACAACAAATAAAATAATATCAAATGATGAAATAAGAAAAAAATAATGTATTATAAATTTAAATTGTAAACATTTATTTGAACAAGCAAAATAAACATGAAAAAATGTTAATAATGATCGACAAAGAGAAATAAATAAATGATGAAATAAATAAAGATTAAAAATAAAATTTTTCCAATTTTTAATTCGATTATAGAATCCAATTAATAATTGAATTAATTGAATTAAACAAACAAATAAACTTGTATACATAAATATTTGACACCATAATAAAGGTATTAATAACATAACGTAACGTATCTTGTTGAGATGAAAATGAATGAACAAGACAAAAAAATAAGTAATTTTTTGACTAAATTTATTTTTCGATTACATATCTATAGATCGATCAGCAGACAAACAGAATAAAGAAGAAGAAAAAAAAAAAAGCGAGAGAGATGTTTTAAAGGTCTAGCTAATTAAGTCGTATAGATAATAATATTTAATATCTGCGATATTATCTACACACACACAATGAGCTAAATGAAAAATTTCATTTATAATCTTATTTAAGAACTGTTTTGTTTTTTTTTGTTGTTATTTTTTTAGATGTTTGACTGATCGAATATCGTATCCTTTTCTTTTTTACTACGTAAAATTTCTAACATAAACATACACGAAATATTAAAACTATTCAATTTACTCGTCAATGTTTGTCTATAATATGAACAAGAAAAAAAAATTCTTTGAAAAATTTAATCTATCATGGATGATTGAGTAGAAAACAAAACAAAACAAAAATAGTAATTATAGAACAAGTGAATATTGTATTTCGTTCAGAGTCAAGTTGTTGGTTTTTCTTTTTTAAAAGCCCGTAGACATTTATGTGTACTCCACAATTGTCAACTGAGATGTAGAATTTTGTTTTTCTAACTATTGTCTGTCAATTCTGTCATTAGCAATAGTTATATCTTTTCTCACTACTCTTCCTTGGTTTCTTTTTTTCTTTACTTTTCTCTTTGAAAACAAAAAAAAAAAAAAAAAAATAGACAAATATAAGACAATTTTATCAATCAAGTACTAAATTGTGGAAAGAAAGAGAGAGAGAGGAGGAGAGAGCCAGAGAGAGAGAGAGAGGGGAAGAAAAGTATTTGCGAACATTTTAATTTTTAAGTAAAGTTGGTTAAAAATAAGAAAAAAGAAAAATAATGATAACACAAGAGACTCTTGAAATAGGTTTTTTTTTTTGCGGAAAGAATATTTAACTTCTAAATGATATATGAAAATTGTTAGAGTTAAGAAAATAATAATTCGTTAACAAAACTATTGATGATAATGTTATCATTTATTTTAATTAACCAATTTGTCTATAGAAAGACGATGATAACTCTCTTCCTCTCTATTTCTTCATTATAACAGCTGTGTTAACTAGACAACAGATATGTAATCATTGTAAAAGCTTATGTAAAAAAAATAGATAACAAGTCGAAGTTATGTCAAGACTATATAATTAGTCGACAAAGACAAAGAGAGATCAAATTTTGGAGTTCTCCATGAATATAGAAAAAAAAAAATACATATCTCCGCACATTGTCAGATTAAATTCTGAAACAAAACAAAAAACAACTTCTAATGAGAAATCTTCATCAATATGTCAAAGAGATAATATTTAATAATAACACGATGTCTTATACAAAATTTAATGAAATTTCTTATAAATACAAACAATTATCGACACACATTAAACCCTAAAACTTATTTCAATTAAAATAGTCAATATTATCAATGGTACTTGATGAAAATGTTTGTTTACCTATATTATCGAAGACAATCAAACAGAAAAATAAGAGCTATATTCACTTATAAC